CAAAGTAGCCAATCAGGTGTGCTGCATGCACATGAGCTGAGTAATGAGTAATCAATCTGCTGCTTTCTCTTTATTGCATGGTTGGGGCAGTGATATAACCTAGCTGTACTCTTCAACAGTAGTAGCGGAAAGTCAAGTCACCAACCTCCTGACTGGATGGACAAAAATAAAGCATTTTTTGGCAGATAAAACAGCTCCCATGGATGTATTTTAATTCTGCATGTAGCTGTTTGACTGGAGTTAAGCTTTAAGTGAAAATGTATTTGAATTATTTTGTGACACCCCGCCGTGTCGTCATCGTGCGTGCGCGTGACGTCACCTCGCGCGTGCACGATGACATCATCGCGCATGCGCGGCCATCTGATTGGCGGCTGCCGGGTCCCCTCCTCTCTCCTGACACTGTCGGGCTCTCGGTCTATGATCGAGTGCCTGACTTTTTAGAGGGAGTGACACCAAAATGACTGTCAGTCATTTTGGTGTCGCCCCTCCAATGGTGTCACCCGGGTGTAGGCAGCACCCCCCTTCTGAGGCCACTGATCTAGGGCAACCTAAACAAAAGTGAGCTGAATTGGAGAATTTTTCCAAATCAGCTATTTGGCCCAGATTTTTCACTTCTGCCTTCTCCAAACCCTTCATCCTTATGCGAATCACCCTCTAAGCGTACTTCTGATACTTATATTCAGAGTGCAACATGGTCACCCCCCCCCATATACCTGAATTGCAGTGTTCTTCTCCCAGCAGGCTGCTGCTGTATTTTTAATCTAGTGTGGCGTTGGCAGGATCTGTGAATGAAGAAACTACAAGACTTATGGTTCTCAACTAAATCCAAGTGTGGTCATGTCACTACACTTATAGTCCGTTGACACGTTCTCCCATTCCTGTTGCTGATTGTTCATATCTTGATACGAACAGAGACAGGAGGAAGAGTTTGCAGGAGCCAGAGCATTGCAACCGTGATCCATAAACTGCGATTTATTTATTTGCTGCATTTATTTGGTTTTTAAAGAGTGGAATTTACCTTTAAATCCTTTACTAAATGAAAGGCAGTCAGAGTTATATTAGATAGGTGTTTGTGGCCATTATCCTTTTTTGATAACTCCCACTTCCTGATTGTCTTCGAAACCTCTGACATGTCTCAGAATTTTGTTTTTAATTAGTCCCAAGGCTCCTAACACGCTTTCTCTACAACTATATTTTTTGACAAGCTGACCTAGCAAAACCTTTACATTGTGGTTAATTATGCATTTAATAACACTGTTTAAATTGCTTAACTTTCTCTAGACAAAATAAAGTGTTGTACTACATTGCAGCCTCACTGTTAGGAATGAAGATAGAGGGGAGAATGCAGGAAGAATGGCACACACAACGAAGATGGAGAGCATCCAGGTTGTAGAAGAATGGTAAGTTTTTATTCCATTTTACTCTACACCAACCAAATGTACCATAATATTTTATCTCCCTAACATGTTTCTTCTTGTGTAGTTACTGTCCTCCCATCATTCCATGATGATACAGATTGGTTTTTCTTTCTTTTTTTTTCACAAAAAAATGTATTGTTTTCAAATGAACACACTAGCAGAGTGCAACGTTACAGTATAAGACAGTGCTGACGCAGCAGACAGTCAAATTTGTTGAAAGTAAATTATAGTAAAACTGACACATAGCAAATAAACTGGACGGTTCCATGTAATACACTTAAATCACAGAAGGGTCATCTATTGGAAACCATAATTTAATTACGTGTGTACTGAGGACCGTAAACTGGTCCCAGACCAAACTGCAGACTAACTGGTGGGAGACTAATCCCATTGAACAGGGACTATTAAAAGGACAGCAGGGTGGGAGAGGGGGAAGGGTGACATAAAAGAGGGGGGTTGGGGTATGAGAGGACCAGTTCAACATTAAAATTAAGGGAAAAGGGTAAAGTGAAGGGTGTACATTGGCTCGTATTGGTCGGGCGGGCTCTCCTCTGTTTGCCTTGTAAGGGCTCAAAGAATTGTTAGCTGGGTTGGGTCAAATGGGTTGGGTATGATGTTTTTCTAACTGTTGACAATTTGAACTGACATGATTTTATTGTGGCACAGCTCAACCGCCAATAATGATCTACTCTGCTGTAGTAGTAGTAGTAGTAGTAGTAGTAGTAGTAGTAGTAGTAGTAGTAGTAGTCTAATACCATTCTCTTCTTTAACCCAATCTCCTCACACACTCTTATATTGCACACACATTTTCTTGGGATCTGTTTTTTATGTGAACTAAGCAGGAGCTGGTGGCTACAATCAGAGTTTGTTGTAACTTGTTTATACCTATTGTAGAGCCTTTTGTACCTTTTTAATCAATTAGAGTGTCATTTTAAAAAATCAAGTGGTATTCAATCTTATGAATTTTCATTGTGGATTCTGACTCCCATTAGTAGACAGTTTTAGGAACCAAGTCTTATTCTCTGTATTTTTGTGTAGCCCTGATTAAGGGAGATTGTTGAGCCCCAAAACAGATAGGCTATTTCTTGTCATCTTCCTAATAATCGTGGAATCAATAAAGTTCTGTTCTTGACTCTTAAAGCATGGTTTTGGCACTCCCTAGAGCTTGACTACACGATTTCACAAACGGGTTGACCCTGTACTTGAAGAGAACCCTGTTTTTGTGGGTAACTGCTGAACCAAGACCATTACATTGAATCATAGACACTCCTCCAACCACCTAGAAATCTGGGTTCAGCCCTTCTTATTATATTTCGTAGACGCAATGGCCAAAAACGATCAATACATATAAAGTAAATTTGTTTTAAAGCAAAACCATACCTTCAGCCCTTTGCTAAGGTTGGATGTGAGGGTTAGCTAAGGCCACAGTCTGGCTAGTAACTTATTTTGATTTGCTGTTTTAGCAAGGCCTTCTGCCTAAACATTATCCAATAGAGAGTTGTGAAGAGTCTATAATGGGTTCTCTGCAGCACTCAAGTGGAGAGGCCTGTAAAATTGCTGCCAGTTAAAAATTTATGGTTGCAGAATTATTTGAAACCTGTATGAATATTTCATATTTCATAAAGTTGATGTCAGCCACAATTGGACATAAAGACACAAAGTCATAAACAATTGTCTTTTTTGTTGTTGTAGAAAATAGCTTTACTTTTTTGTATCCTTTTTTTGCATCTGAGTGCTGGTGATCTCCTGCAGCCTTCATGCAGCCAATTCTTGCCTACACACACACATACTCCAGGAGCAGCTGCATGTCAGTGCTTATAGAGGGTTTTCTGATGGTGGCAGTGATAGAACATGCCTCTGCAATGGCCACTCATACTCTACACCTGAAGCATGTTATAACTAGGGATGAGGTTTGCAGCAATCCGCAGGATTCACAATATTGGGAATTGAGTACATTTGCCCAAAAAGTAAGGAACAACCTATAATGCAGTGCATGACATTTTCCCCTTGTAAGATGAGTCACAACTGCCAATAATTTAAAGAAATGGATAACTCAGCCCCCTTTCTAAAAAATTAGTGGGTTCAAAGCAGCCATATTGTCAGTTTGTGTTGGAGTTGTATATACAACAGCAGAAGTTTACCATTGCATATACTGTATAGGCAGACTAAAGGAGATAAAGACGCTTCTATCTCACTGTTCAGAGGAAACCAAGATTATAGCACATTTCCCACTGGACATCAATTTTAATTGGCTCAGCGATAGTGATAAAATTGCTGGCCATTGATAAATAATTTGTGACAAACTACAAAATATTGATCTGAAAAAAAAAAACTCTTTCCTAAAATATACTTTTTAAAGCATGGTTTCTCTGACAGAGGGTAATTCATTCTTTAAGTGTGAGGAAATTGTATGCACACTTCACACATGATGGCTGTGGCAAAATATGCACTTGTTAGCATTCCATCACTTCAAAGCACTCACATGTCACATGTGTCTATAGACAAACATTGCAATGCTTAGTATAGATCTGTATGTGTAGTAAAGAAAAATGTATAATGTTATTTTTTTATTGTGTAAAGTGCTAATTAAATATATTTTAATAAAATGTGTTATGTAAGTATAGCATTTTTTTATTTTTTTTTTACTAAAAGTGCTTTCAAAGCTTGCAATCATCTATTATGTGAATGCCCAATCAATAGACTGGTTTGATGAATCTGACAATCACTGCTACTGATTGTCATAAATATCATGTGATGAAATGTCAAGATTAAAGCTGAAGTGTAGTGTACTCATATAGTACCTTCCCTTGTTCCACCCTTTACCCCCTTTTCAAAACAATGCTCACATTTTTGTGTGTGTTTCTCCCTGCTGGCCACTGGGTGCTACAGACTTTAACTGTGCAGTTTGCTGATTGGTTGCTTGAGCAGGCACATCTAAAGGGATTCCAAGGATGTGCTCTTTCATGTAACTCTAAAAAATACAAAAAAGGGCGCAAGCACTTCAGCATGTAGAAAAGTCAATGTTTATTGACTTCACAAGTGTCCCATCATCAGTACTCTGATGATGGGACACCTGTGAAGTCAATAAACATTGACTTTTCTACTTGATGGAGTGCTTGTGACCTTTTTTGTAGTTTTTGGACTTATTGTGCGGAGGCATCCGCTGTCCTTTCAGCACCCACCCTAAAACTAGGGTTTTCTATCCAGGCAGGAGTGTGATGGGTGTGTATGTGTTTTGAACTTTCATGTAACTTTGTCACGATCCGGGATCAGGCTCAGAGTCCAGTAGCTGAAACAGCAGGACAATTTGTGGTATAACAGGCCGGGTTCAAACGCTTGGGAAGAAAATGATTGGTGGCAGAGCAAGCTAATAGCTGTGAGAGGGGGGCATTGACAGTATGGATCCTGGGGAGAAGTAATTGATGAATGTTGGAAGCTATTCAGGCAGGAACTGAATGTGAGCTCAGGATAGCTGCTGCAGCTCCGAAGGGTTATATTGTGAAGATACAAGTTTTCAGGGAGTTGAGAGTAATCAGTTTAAAGCAGGGGCGGAGTGACAACACCTGGGCCCCGTGGGCAATATGAGATTATGGGGCCCCTTTCTGCTCTGCCCATATACACGCCCCACCCACAAGCCCCACCCAAATATATTGTGTTACAGAAATTATTTCTCCACACTATTTTCAAAATAGCAGGTCTATTGGCAGGAGAATTTCAAAATTTACATCAGTATAGGCAATTTGGTAAGTGAGATAAATGGCAAAATGTTTCTTTTGACTTAGATTCTTCAAATCAGCCAATTATCCTGGGTAAATTGCAGGAGAATTAGTAGGAAAATTGACAGGGGAACTGAATAATCTAAGACCAGAGTGGGGGTTTGGACACATATCACACGTGAAGTATGCAAGACCCTAAACCCCCCCCCCCGCTCTGGTGCGTGTAGTAAGCCCCCCGAATGGTCCATCTGTCTGATTAGTCAGTCCACCCAGGACAAGAACCAATGCATAGCAAACCTCAGACCAGAACCAATGCATGGCAGACCTCAGACCAGAACCAATGCACGGACAGATGTGGAGGGCAGGAGTGGAGGATCAGCAGGGCATATGTGGAGGGCAGATGTGGAGGATCAGTAGATCAGTAGGGCAGATGTGGAGGATCATCAGGGCAGATGTGGAGGATCAGAGGGGCAGATGTGGAGGTTCAGTGGGGCACATGTGGAGGCTCAGCGGGGCACATGTGGAGGCCCATCAGGGCAGTTCTGGAGGATTAGCAGGGCAGATGTGGAGGCTCAGCAGGGCAGTTCTGGAGGATCAGCAGGGCAGATGTGGAGGCTCAGTGGGGCAGATGTGGAGGATCAGATTGGCAGATGTGGAGGCTCAGCGGGGCAGATATGGAGGCTCGGCGGGACAGCTGTGGAGGCTCAGCAGGGCAGTTCTGGAGGATCATCGGGGCAGATATGGAGGATCAGCGGGGCAGATGTGGAGGCTCAGCGGGGCAGATGTGGAGACTCAGCAGAGCAGTTCTGGAGGGTCAGCAGGGCAGTTCTGGAGGGTCAGCAGGGCAGATGCGGAGGATCAGAGGGCCAGATGTGGAGGCTCAACAGGGCAGATGGGCGGAGGGGGTCATTGCTGGCGCCGGGACTGAATCTCACTGGGCCCCCGAAGCACACCTAAACATCTCACTGGGCCCCCACATGCTATGCCACTGGGTGACAGGCCCCCCTGGCCGTGGGCCCTCGGGCAGTGCCCGACTACCTGAATGGTCAGTCCGCCCCTGGTTTCAAGTTCAACACAACACAGGAGAGAACTTGCTACAAGTGTGTGGACAAAAGGTAAGGTCCATAATTGAAGCAAAAATCCCAGCAACAAATAACTCATTAACTACTTCAGTACCAGCATGTTAAACCTCCATCATTACCAGGCCTTTTTTCAGTTCTTAGTGCTGTGAAAGTTTTACTGAGAATCACAACCCTGTAACCAAAT